TATATATATAATGAAATGATTTTTTGTTAAATTTAAATTTACATTAATATTGATATTTGTCTATAACTAATAATCAATATGATTATATTTTGCTATGATTGATATTTTATTATACCTTTATGATTTCCTATATTAATGTTAATAAGTCACAAATATTCACACATTAAATTTTTTTTCATAATTAGTAAGTAATATAATTAATATTTTTTATGTTGTTATATTAATATTAAGATGACGAATAAATATGATAAACTAACTAAATAAATAAATATATGATAAATTTTATTATATTAATTTAATATATTATGAATAATATATATATATATAATAAATAAATATTTACATAAATGAAAATTTTGTTTTGTGAATTGTTTTAGATATATTTTGTTTATAATAGATAAATAAACTAACAATTTTTATACGTGATAAATAAAAATATATTAATTTATTATTTAAGCACTACAACGAACTTATATTTTTAGTGAACCGAACATTATATTATTATTTATTAGGGGAATTGTTGATAAAAAATATTAAATAATTATATATTGAACCATTTTTATTTTTATTTTATTTTATAACAAAGTAAATATAATATTTTATTGTAAATCCAAAATAATTTGGATATAAAATTTTTAAATATATAACTTTGATATTAATCCTTTTTCATACATGCTTGAATATTTTCATATTATAAAAGTGTATCATAAATAAAGTATTTTAATATGAAATTACAATTAAAGAAGACATGTTTATTATAATAACTTAAAAATAATATTTACAAAAAATAACTTAAAATTTATAACAACTATATGTTAAGTCTTCATTCAATCTTTTCAACAAATGTTAGGTATAAAATTTGTTCTTAATGTCATTATATAAGGGCTTTTATTCATAATTTATCTCATTGCCGAGACTTTCATAATTTTATATGACCTAAAAATTAATTTTATTAAAAATGTAAAAAAAAAATCTAATAATCTTACTTTTTTCTACATTGAAACAAATGAAAAGGAAAAATAGACATAATAATATAAATAAGAATGAAATACAAAAAAAGTAACAACAAAATATAATAAGAATTCTGTAATAAAGAAAAAAAAATAGAGATAAACATATGCAAGAAATAAGTATATTATAATGGGGAGCTTTTCTTTTCAAATTCATACTTGCATTTCTTTGAAATCAGATTGAAAATCAACTTCCTAAAAGCAGAATTTAGTTGTCTAGAAAACCATGGGTAATCTCACTCATGGTTGTATAAATAAGATGGTTTAATCATCATTTATATAATAGAAAATAATATGTAAAAGAAGAGCCAAATAATATTGGGAGTTATACATATTTATTCAATATAACAAAAAAAAATAAAAATTCAACAAAAAGGAGTTACCAAAATTAAAAAACATTTTATATTTAGTATAAATTAATTTTATATGTTTAATTAGTATATAATATAATATGAATCCAGTAAATACGATAAAACTATAAAAATATATTAATTATTATAATAATATTTTATGCTAATTATTTTACAATAATTTTGTATGTTAATATTAAAACCATAATTAAAGTTTTTAATTGGAATCTTTTCAT